AGAAAGTCCACTCCGAGCTCCTGCGCAAGGGGTGGACCCACATCGAGCCGCCCGAGGAGTGGGGAAGATGCTGGCCGAGGCAAAGGAACACCTCTTGTGATTGCCTGGGGAGGATGGGCCCATTGCGGAGTCAGCGCTCCGTCATCGGGCGCTGAGGACTCCGGCAGCAGTGCCACGCAGCCTCGCCCTCAAGGGGCGCCGGGGTCTTGAGCTAGGGAGCCCACTGGGGACTTACGGACGCGCCTGGGAGCAGCTAGGTGGTGAACTGATGACAGGTAACCCAACGGGAGTGGACTGGATCATGTGCGCGCTGTCCCTGGACCCGAAGGGATTCGAAGTCGAGAAGCTGGTGTCCGCCATCACTCGGGCGAGGCCGCAGGTCGTCGTGGTCGACGCCCCCGGCAAGCTCGACCTGGCCCGCGTCGTCAAGGTGCTGCGCAAGCTGGGGTACCGCACGTACGAACTGGAGGTCGTCTGCACCCACTACGGCGACATGACAGCCCGAGCTCGGAGCCTGATCGTGGCAGGTCGGGGACCAGCAGGCGCTAGCCTGGCGAGCATGCGCATGCCGCCAGCGCGCCGCTGTCCCCACGGGGTGAAGGGCGCGTTGAAGGATAAGCTCAGCGAAGGCGGTCACCACTGGCTCGACGACGAGGGGGGCGTCACCTGGGACCCGGCAGCTCGAGGGGGCCCCGACCCTACACTGCCCAAGGGCATCGGCCACATCAAGCTCGCTGGCACGAAGCACCTGGTCTGCTCAGTCGACGGCCCGATCGGCGCGGTTCGCTGGCCCGCCGAGGGCCCGGGCGGACCGGGAGGGACGCTGATCCACGTCCCAGGACACAGCGGCGGGCGCATCAGGGCGCTGTCGCCAGAGGAGGTCTGGATCGCACAGGGGGGCGACGAAGCGACTTGGGTGAAGAGGCGAGCCCAGGGCGACACCGAGGCCACTTTGATGCGAGAAGCAGCGAGGGCCTTGCCACACGAGACGGCGAGAACCGTGCTGGGCGCCACTGTGGACGCGCTGTCGCAGGCCACCCAGCGGGCGGGCGGCTGCCGCGACCCCGCGGAGTCGGCCGCCTGGGAGACGACCCGGCGGTGGCTCAGGGCCCGGGCGCGGGGCGAGCTCTGGGCGAAGGCCGACAACCCCGAGAACGACCAGCACGCTGGGGCACTGAGCGATGACGTCCACAAGGCGAGGCGCAAGAGCCAAGGCGTCCGCTTCAAGGCAATTGGCAATCGAGGAGGATCTCGCGCGGGGTCCCGAGCCCCCTCCTGACGCCAAGGAGGCGGACCTGAACGCAGTTGTCAACGCGCCCAAGAAGCGGCGGAAGAGGAGCCCCAACCGGGGCAAGAAGGTGGAGACCCAGGGGTTGGTCAAGCCGGTCGCGTTGGGTCGAGCTCGAGCCACCATCGCCCTACCGGACCACCCGACCCTGGGAGGGGAGGACTACGGCGGGTGGATCGAGGAGCAGAAGCGCGAGGCGCTGATGCTGCGGCTGTCCGAGGGAACCCGCGCCGGCTATGAGACCGGCTGGAAGCAGTGGCAGGGCTTCAGGGCAGCCCAAGGAGAGTCGCCCTGGCTGGAGGGACGCGACCGCGAGGAGCGACGCGCCAACGAAGAGGCACTGCTGGGCTTCGTCGTCGTGTTGGCCAAAGTGCTGAAGCGCACGGAAGGCACGATCAAGCAGAAGTTGTTCGCTGTGCGCTTCGCCCACCTCGTGGTCGGATACCCGGGCCCTCTCCCCCACCGAGGCCGCCTCTGGTCCACGCTCGCCGGCCTCCGGAGAGGCCAGTGGCCGAGCGGGCGGAAGCGGCCAGTGACACCACGCATGCTCCTGCGGCTCCAAGGCTTCTTGAGGGACCAGACGGACCTCCCCGAGATGGACGCCGCGGTCCTGTGGGCCGCCGTGGCGGTGGCCTTCTTCTTCATGTTAAGGGCGTCAGAGTACTTGATTCCGCCTGGGAAGACATGGGGCCGAGAGCGCGTCGCGCGTGGCGTGGACATCGCGGGCCGCGACGGCAACAACCAGCCTTGCACCTTCAAGGGCGCGGTGGGCACATCACCTCCTCGAAGATAGACCAGTACAATGTGGGGTGCGTAAGGAATCAGTATGAGACAGGCACGTCGCTGTGCCCCGTGGCCGCCCTCCGCCAGCTGGAGCGGCACTACCCGCAGAGGCTGCGAGGGAGCGAGGAGGAGCTCCCGCTCTTCCGCTGGGCGAGCGGAGCACCCATCCGCCGCGAGGAGGTGCAGCACTACCTGACGATCGCAGGGCTGGCCGCCGGGCTGAGGAAAGAGGAGATCGGCTCGCGCAGCCTCCGCATCGGAGGCGCGACAGCGATGTGCCACGCCGTGGACGACCTGCAGCGCGTCAAGCGCTTCGGGCGCTGGGCCTCCGATAGCTTCCACGGGTACCTGTGGGAGAGCCACGAGCCCATGCGCGGCATCTCGACCAACATGGCGACGGACACGTCCGAGCTCAGAGCGCCGCCGGCCCACGCGACCGAGGGCGAGCGCCGGGCGGGCAGGAGCCCGACCCAGCTGCGGCCCAGAGCGGCGCTGGCCGCGACGACGCTCGCCGCCACAGCTGGCAGCGCAGACGGCTACGTAATCAAGGTCAACCCGGCGGAGAGCCAGAACCTGCTGATCCTCGTGCTCCCGGTCGGCTTGGGGGCTTGGGCGATGGCAGCGGGGGTGCTGCTGGCAGCCGTGCTGCTAGGCGCTGCGCGGCGGCGCAAGCAGCAGCGAAGGCGCGGAGGAGCGGCCGGCGAGCGCGGCGGCAACTGCAGAGCTCGCATCCCCCGCGCAGGCATGCCATGCGCAGCGCCGGTGGTGACGGCGCTCGCGACGGCAGCCGGAGAGATACAGAGCCACGAAGTGGCAGCAGTCGACAGCAGGGCACAAGGGGCCACGCTTCGCTGGGAGCCGCAGATGGGCACGGTGGCGATCGTTTTCCCAGTGGGGACGGCGCTGAAGGTGGTGGCCACGATCGCAGTGCTGCTTGCGGCGGGCATCGGGGTGCTCGGCTGCTGCTGCTGCGGGATGGCCAAGAAGAGCGAGGAGAGGCTGGAGCCAGAAGCGCAGCAGGCCACAGCGCAACAGACGCCTAAGGCGCACAAGCCTCCCAAGCAGCCGCAGAGGACGTACTGCGACGCAGGGGTGATGGGCCCGGTGCACTACAATGGCGCGAGGTACGTGCACGAGACCCAGGGCTTCCGCAGGGCCAACGAGGCGACGCGGGAGGTGGCCCCGTCAGGGCACCGCAGGTCGCCAGAATGGCCCCGTGGAAGGGAGCAGAGGCTGCATCGTGACTAAGGTGCGGGCTGCCGCCGGCCAGCGGCCGAGCAGGCAGCAGCGGACCGCCGCCGGCAACCGCCGTGCGGGCGGCCACGCGGCGCCAGCTGAGTTCAGCCTGGCGCTCGCGATCAGCAGCGCACTTGCGAACAATCTGGGCGCGTGCCGCGGCCGCTGCTGCCCGCGGGCAGGCGCCGCGCCGGCCTGGCACCCGGCAGTGCCGTCATGGGGGCGGCAGTGGCGGCTACGAAGGAGCGCCGGCGGCTAGCCCAGCCAGGGCTGCCGCACGGGGCGCAGGGGGAACCACCGCCGCCGGCACCCGCCGTGCGAGCGGCAGCGCGGCGCCGGCTGAGCTCAGCCTGGCGCTCGCGCTCAGCATTGCGCTTGCGAGCAGCTGGGCGCGGTGCGGCGGCAGCTGGCGCCTGAGGGCAAGAGCGCCGCGCCGGCCCGGCAACCGGCAGTGCCGTCATGGGGGGCGGCGGTGGCGGCTACGTGGGGCGCCGGCGGCCAGCCCAGCCAGGGCTGCCGCCTAGGGCGCACGAAGAACCACCGCAGGCGCCGGCGGCGTGCCGCCCTGCGCCTGCGGACCCACCTTGCTGGGCAGACGTGGCAGCGTGCCGCGGATGCCAGGACTGTTGAGTTCCACGCCGAGAGGACCGGCGGCTACGTGACCCACTACAGCCAGCGTGCATTCATAGGAGGAGGTTGGCGGCGTGGCCCGCGACGCGTGGCCCAAGACAGGCGCCGGCGCGCCAGGCGCCAGGCGCCAGAGGAGCAGCACGGCTCCTTGGCAAAAAAGGGTCACGCTCATCGTCATCGTCGTCTGAGCGTCACTTCCTCCTCTTGAGCCTCACCTACTAGGCTCAAGTTGTTATTAGTTTACCTGTGCTGTTTGAGGGGATATCTAGGATGTTTGGTAAAACTGATGGATCTCCCCGTTTCCAGAACTGGCGCGGGCTTCCACTTGTGTTCCCCTTGCTCCTGCCCTTGCCTCTTTGCTTGCCCTTTCCCGCTCCCTCTCTCTCCACCGCCGCTTGGCGGCTCAAGCCTTTTCAAAGCCAAGCTGGCCCACCCTGGGAGCCCCGCAGGGCTCCCTACCCGCCCTGTTCTGGACTTTTACGGTGCCGCCGTGGCGCTAGGGTGCCTCGGCGGCGGCGTGGCCCGCGACGCGTGGCCCAAGACAGGCGCCGGCGCGCCAGGCGCCAGGGGCGCCAGGCGCCAGGCGCCAGAGGAGCAGCACGGCTCCTTGGCAAAAAAGGGTCACGCTCATCGTCATCGTCGTCTGAGCGTCACTTCCTCCTCTTGAGCCTCACCTACTAGGCTCAAGTTGTTTTTAGTTTACCAGTGCTGCTTGAGGGGATATCGGCCAGGCAATTGTGCTGGCGGCTGAAGGCCACACCAGGCTGCACCTCAGCTACCGTGGGGTGCCGGTGCTCGTGGCGCCCGAGCAGGTGCGGCATGCCTCTCGCGGTGAAGCTGAGCTGGTGGAGAAGGAGGACCTCGTCAGGCAAGAAGCACGACGGCGACTCAGACAACGAGGACGCCACGGGCGACGCGCCGGCGGCCAAGACGCCACGGGCCGAGGAAGCTCCACCGCCTCCCTCGAGGAGGTCCGAGGCTACTCCAAAGCGGGAGAAGCAGACTAAGGAGGAGGACGCACCTGAACCTGGAGTGCTGCCCGAAGTACCACCGCTGCCTGGAGATGGACACGACATGCAAGATGTCAAATCTGAAACACTACCTGGAGATGGACACGAAATGCAAGACGTCAAGGCTGAATATATACCTGGAGATGGACATGGCATGCAAGATGTTACAGTTGACGACCCACCTGCACCTGACGCAGCTGGGCAGGGGCGTGCTACGGACCCCTGCCCATGAGGCGTGTCCGCGCCGACGAGAATGAGCCGACGAGGGGCAGCCTCTCGTGCGAGCAACACCCGCTGAAGGCGAAGTCGCGGAACATCGTCCCGGGCTACAAGGACAAGCAGCTGCTCGCGTGCGAATTGCAGACGAACGCGCCGACGCTCACGGACACGGCCACGGCGGTGATCATCCAGGAAGCTGCCAGCCAGCCAGGCTGGAACCTCGAGCAGGGCGACGTAGAATTCGGCATTTCTGAATGGCAGATACCTCGACAACTCCAGGCGCATGTACTTATGTGTCCCCAAGGGCGGTATGCCTGCAGTGCCGGAGCTAGGATGGCCGTTCGTCCCGGAAGGGACCATCCTGAAGGCGAAGAAGGGCATCCATGGGTTGAACGATGCACCTCTGCTGTGGTATGAGGAGCATCGCGACACCATCCTATCGCTTCCCCGGGCTTCGAGATCCAAGCTGTGCCCGGCCCTCTTCATCTTCCACGATGAGAGGGGGACGCTGATCGGTCTGATCGGGACGCACGTCGACGACGATCTCGTCGCGGGGTCGCCCGAGTTCTTCGCGAATCAGGTGGCCAAGCTGAGGAAGGTGCACTGCTACGGCAAGTGACAGGCGGCGAAGGTGGGCTTCCACCACTGCGGGCGCTTCCTCAAGCAGAACGACAACGGCACGATCACATGCAGCCAAAAGGAGTACACGGAGAGCATCGAGAATATTCCCATCTCGGCCGAACGTCGGAAGACGAAGGAGGCGAAGGCCACGGCGGAGGAAAGGGCGATGCTCCACAGCGGCAACGGCCAGATCCAATGGCTGGTCCGTTCTACGTGGATGGACTTGGCATTCTGGCTGGTGGAAAGCCAGGCTAGGGCTCACGGCAGCGACCTGAAGGTGCAAGATTTGCTGGACAACAAGCTCATGAGCTGAGAACTGCACGAAGCGGCTACGGGCGCAGGAATCACATCTCCATCACAACCGCATGAAAACGTCGGGCAACTTCAAACACACGCCCAGGTGCTCGTCGGGGTCCCAGACCTCTTTGAACCAGCGTACCACAGGTCACCGTTCAGAGGTTTCGCCCGAGCCTCTGCCAGCGTGGACGGGCACCCCGCAATCTGATCAGTGGTTCAGAGCCACTCCCACACCAGGTTTGAGGTGCTGGAGCTCCTCTGCCAGTAGTTGCAATAGATGTACGTGGTGTCCCAGGTGCCGCCACCGTCGTCCTCCTCTGAGAACATGCCAGGAAGCCCTCCAGGAACTCCTGGTTCACAGGTTGCGCTGAGAAGCTGTGTGTTGGAAGTGGCCGCCTCAGATCAATTGATGTGGGCGTAGGTGTTCGAATTGTCGCCAACAGTATAAATCTGGCCGCAGTCGGGGTTCGACTGGCTCGTCACGACTGTCCACTGCCCTACCAGCACTTCTGCCTGGGAACTGCAAGATGCAACCAATGCTGGGAGTATCACATTGAATGACGTGGATGCAGCAACCCTGAAAACAACCCGTAGCATAATACTGACACGGCGCTGAATCGCGTCTGTGTTACAGTCGCACGCGCAAGTAACTCAGCTAACTGAACGCTCACGGGGCTTGAGCCAAAATGGCCAAGGATTCTTTGGGGCGGGGTTCTGGGGCGTCTTCGGGGAACCTTGGGAAGTGTGGGCGCCCTCTTGAGGGCCTCTGAAACAGTTGTGGGGTGAGTAGTTGTGTTGTTGGTGCTGATTCGGAACATCGGCGAACCGAAAAAACAGAACCCCGACAAATTGCTTCAAAACGGAAGGATGTATACCAATGATTTGTGCATCGTGAGGCCCTCTTTGGGGGCGTTCGGGAACTGTCTGGAAGCATTATGGGGGCGTTGTGGGCCGCCTGGAAGCCGTCGAAGAGCGCGTTGGGAACGGCGTGGGCCACGTGGGGGTCGTCGTGAGCGTCTGGGAGTGATTTGTCCCGCGATTCGTGGCCCACTTCGGCTGTCCTGGAGGTCTCTTGGGCAGTCAGGGGGCAGTCCGTGGGCAGTCCCAGCGTCCTCCTGGGGGCCTCCTATTCGGACTTGGGGCGAAATGTCGCGCTTGTTGGGCTGGCTTGGAGCGCCGGCGCGGCGAAAAGAAGGAACCACGACAAGCCATCAAAAACCCATGACAGGTGAATGCCTTTGTTTTCTTAGTACCCTCCTCGAGGGCGACTTGAAACCAACTTGGAACGCTTTGGGGGCTTTGTGGGTTGCCTGAAGCTTTCGTGGAGCGCCCTGGGATCGTTGTGGGCCACATGGAAGGCGCAGTGAGCGTCTGAGAATGATGTATTAATGATTCGTGGCCTGTGCGGGCCGTTCTCGGGGTGGGGCGTGTGTGGGGCTTCTTGGACAATCTGGCGCCCACGTGGGGGGTTCTGAAAAAGTGTTGGGACGAGTTTCGGTGTTGTGGGGCGTCGGCAAGCCGAAAAAGCGGACCAGAAATCTTCAAACACGTATGGAAAACAAATGAAGTAACTATGCCTCTTGGAGCGTCCGGGAGGCGTCTTGGGCCGTCTGGAAGATTTCGTGGAACGCCTAGGAAGCGTTGTTGGCGATCTGAACGCGATCGCGGCCGTCTGGGAATGATGTTGCAGCAGTTCGGGGGCGACCCGCCGGTTTTTGGTACCCTTGCGGCCCCCAGATCACCCATGCGCTGTCGAACCCTGGCCCCAGGACACAAGGCATCGCAGACGGAAGCGTGTATGTGAATATATATATATACACATATATATATATACATATATACTAGAACCATCGCGCGCTTCGCGCGCGCTCAAGTTCTAGCCGGTCCGCTGGGACAATCCCACCAGCCCTCTGGGCGTAGGTGGTTTAGAGAGCTTCTTCTTCCAACCTCCTTCGTCCACTTCGGGGAGGGGCTTACCCCTCCCCCTACCCTCTCCCCATGGACCTGGACGGGGGGGTTCGCGAGCGGTCAGAGCGTCCAAGATGGCCCAAGATGGCTCCATGAGCGCCTCGGAGAGCCCCAGATGAGCTCCAAGATGGATCAAGATAGCTTAAGATGCCTCAAGATGGCTCCGAAGATGGTCCAAGAGGACCCAAGACCGCCGCAAGACGGCTCCAAGAAGCCAAACAGCTTCCCAAGGAAGCCTCCAAGAGGCCAAAACCATTGAAACACATGAGGGAAACCACTGATGTTTTGCCTACTCGCCTTTTCGCTTCCGATGGCCATCCGAGGCCTCAAGATGGCTCCAAGATGGCCCAAGATGGCCCCAAGAGGGACCCAAGAGAGCGCCAAGACGGCCCCAAGAGCGCCCAAGAGCGCTCCAAGAGGGGCCCAAGAGGCGATGTTCGATGCTCCCGAGGGGGTACCCTAACCCCCTTTCTTTAATCAATTTCCTCCAAGATGGCGCCAAGAGCGCTCCGAAGGCTCATAAGAGAGCCCCAAGACCCCAAAAGGCGCCCAGACGACCCCAAGAGGCCTCCAAGAGGCTCCCCAGAGACTCCCAATAGGCCCCCCAAGAAGCTTCAAGAGGCTCCCCAAGGCACCCACGACGCTCCAAGAGGCCCCTGGGCCGTCAAGAGGCCCCCAATATATTGAAAGAAGCTTCCGACAAGACTTCCAAGAGACATCCGAAGAGACATGCATCGCCCTTCTCCTCCTCGTCCTTGTCCTCCTCCTCGTCGTCCTCTTCCTCCTCCTCCTCGTCCTCCTCATCCTCCTCGTCCTCCTCGTCCTCCTCGTCTTCATCCTCGTCTTCCTCCTCGTCCTGCTCGTGCTCCGCCTCCTCCTCTGCCTCCTCCTCCTCCTCATCATCATCATCCTCCTCGTCTTCATCCTCCTCCTCCTCTCTTCTTCCTCCTCCTCCTCCTCCTCCTCCTCCTCCCTTCTCCTCCCTCTTCCTCCCCCCTCCTCCTCCTCCTCCTCCTCCTCCTCCTCTTCCTCCTCCTCTTCCTCCTCCTTCTCCTCCTCCTCTTCCTCCTCGTCCTCCTCATCCTCCTCCTCCTCTTCCTTCTCACTCCCTCCTTCCTCTTCCGTTTTCCTTCCTCCTTCCTCCTCCTCGTCCTCCTCCACCTCCTCCTCCTCGTCCTCCTCCTCGTCCTCCTCGTCTTCCTCGTCCTCCCCCTGCTCTCTTCCCTCCTCCTCCTCTCCACCTCCTCCTCATCCTGCTCGTGCCGCCTCCTCCTCTGCCTCCTCCTCCTCCTCCTCATCATCATCATCCTCCTTCTCCTCCTCCTCCCTCCTCCTCCTCCTCTCTTCCTCCTCCTCCTCCTCCTCCTCCTCCTCCTTTTCCTCGTCCTGATATTCCTCCTCGTCGTCCTCGTCCTCGTCCTCGTCCTCCTCCTCCTCCTCGTTCTCGTCCTCGTCCTCCTCGTCCTCCTCGTCCTCCACGTCCTCCCCCTCCTCCTTTCCTCCTCCCCCATCATGCACACCGTTCTTTTTTCCTGGCCTTCCTCATTCGACAGGGCCGCGAAGCTAATCCAAAATTTCGGTTCGACCGCTTCCCCAGCTCTTGGTCCACTGTATGCTCCGCCGCTCTTTTGAGCAAGGCAAATCGCATGGGCATCGTTCCTGGATGGGCTGGTGGGGATACGCGAAGCGTCAACAATTGAGCAGAGCAGGGGTGTTCGGTTGGTGGAAGGCAGGCGGCGTGAGCAAAGTTCTGATCTTTGCAAGGGGGCAATTGCTTGTTGTTGGATGATGCGCGGGTGTCGTCCGTTATTGCCGTCGATGTCGTCGTCGTCGCCGCCGTGTCCGTCGGGTGCCGAACGGCGGTCGTCGTCGTCGTCGTCGTCGTCGTCGTCGTCGTCGTCGTCGTCGTCGTCGTCGTCGTGTTTGTCATTTCGTTGGGTTTGCGGGTTTGTGTAGTTGCGGCTCCAACGTGGTGTATCGGTTGGAACCCCAAGCCTTTGAGAATGGTTCGTGGGCGCGGAATGGCGTCTGGGGCATCTTCCGTCGAAGGACGGGACGGGAGTTCAACGCTGTTTTGGAAAATGGAAGTCTGCTATTGTATTTTTGTGTGTGTGGGGGGGGAAGGGGGGGAACCAGACAAAGGGGTTCAGAGATAATCCAACTGCGTCCGCGGGGGGGTCCGGGGAACCATTCGGCGCGCGGTGCCAGGAAGCGAGGACCCCTGGGCGATCCTTGAGGGCAGGCCGCCCGAGACCGCGGGGCGCGGCCTTAATCCAGAACGGCTACGGCAGGTAGGTTTGAGACCTGTGGGGCAGGGACGCCATGGGGCACCTGCAAGTTTTTTGTTGGACGACTCCGGGCGGTTGTCGGGCTTTTCGGAAGCCCTCGGGTCTCTCTCAGGGGCGTTTCAAAGGCCTTTTGGGTTCTCCTCCGGGCCATTGGGCCGAAGAGCTTCGTTTCTCGGCTCTCGCGTCCGCTCCTGGGCGGCTCTTGTAAGCGTCCTCGGGGGCTTCTGGGGCCTCTTATAGCCCCTCGGGGGGGTTAGGTGCCATAATTCGGGCCGCGTCAGGACCGCGCCCCAGCGGTTCTCTGCGGGGCCGCGGCGAGAAAAAAAGGCCCCTCGGGCGCGTCTTGGGGCCTCTTTGGACTCTCTCGAAGATTCCTAGATGGTTGCGGAGGCTGAAGGCTGAGGGCCCTGCAGTGCTGCCTTTCTGGGCTTTGGCCGTCTGGGGGCTCTCTTGGGTGCCTCTCGGAGCCCTCTTGGGCTTCTCTTTGGGGCCCTTTGGCGCCCCCTCGACCCGTGTTCGGGCTCGCTGGGGCGTCTTGGTGCATCCTGGGGGCCTCCTGGGGCTCTTGGGGGCCTCTGGGAGCTTTGCAGGGCTGCCTTCCCGGGCTTTGGCCGTCTGGGGGCTCTCTTGGGTGCCTCTCGGGGCCTTTTTGGGCTTCTCTTGGGGGCCCCTTGGCGCCTTCTCGGCCCGTGCCCGGGCTCTCTGGGGCAGTCTTGGGGCCCTCTCTGGCGGTGGGGGGATCGGACCCTCTTGGGCCGTC